GGGACTCCTTATACTATTTTTTTGTATTTTCATATGTTTAATATTCATGTTTAAATGTGTATTATAATGTACATGTTTAAATATGTTATATATTTAAAATAAAATGCAAAAAAAAATAAGAACTGCATATATATCTATTTCTAGTGGAGAGGAGAACAATTGAAATCCTACACATCACAATAAATTTTAGAGCATTTTTCACTTCAAAAATAAAGTCCATACCCTTTAACTATCACCCCCTATCACCTCATCTCCTTCCGTCCTGAGCAACTGCTAATGTACTTTGTCTCTATAGATCTGCCTATTTTAGACATATAATATAAATTGAATGATACAAGTGGTCTTTTGTGACTAGCTCTTTTCCCATAGGATGTCTACTTAACTCCTTTTTTATGGTCAAATAATATTCCATCGAATGGATATACCATTTTGTTTATCTGTTCATCAGTTGATATACATTGGGATTATTTCCACCTTTTAGCTATTGTAAATAATGGCTATTCCTGTATAAGTTTTTGTATGGATATGTATCTTAATTTCTCTTGGGTGTATACCTAGAAGTGACATTGTGAAGTTATATGGTAACTCTGTGTTTAACTATTTGAGGAAATGCCAAACTGTTTTCCAAAGTGGCTATACTATTTGCACTCACTAACAGTGTATAAGGGATTTTATTTCTCCACATCCTCAGTGACACTTGTTATCCAATTAAAAAAAATATATTATAGCCATCCTAGTGGATATGAAGTGGTATCTCCTTCTAATGATGTCAAGGATATTTTCATTTGCTTATTGGCCATTTGTAATATCTTCTTTGGAGAAATGTTTCTTCAAATCCTTTAACCATTTAAAAAACTGGGTTGCCTTCTTATTATTGAGTTGTAAAAGGTCTTTATATATTTTAGATACAAGTCCTTTATCAGATATAGGATTTGCAAATATTTCCTATTGTGTAGGTTGTTGTTTCACTTTATTGATAATGTCCTTTGAAACACATTTTTAATTTTGATGAAATCTATTTATTTTTTTCATGTTACTTGTGTTTTTGGTGTCATATCTAAGAATCCTTTGCCAAATCCAAGGTCATGAAAATTTACCTCTATATACTTAGCTTCTAAGTGTTTTATAGTTTTAGCTATTACATAGGCCTTTGATATATTTTGAAATAATTTTTGTATATGGTATGAGATCAGGGTCTGAATTTATTCTCTTGTATTTGTCTATATAGTTGTCTCAGCACTATTTGCTGAAGAAATCCTTTCTCTTGAATGGCTTTGTCAAATTCTGTTGACCATAGACACTTCGATTTACTTCTGGTTTGTCAATTCCATTCCACTGATCTTTATGTCTATACTTATGCCAGTACCACAGTCTTGATTACTGTTGTTTTGTAGTAAAATTTGAAATTGGAAGTAGAGGTCTTCCAAATTTTTGCTATTCTGGGTCTCTGAAATTCTACATTAATTTTAGAATAAGATTGTCGATTTCTACAAATAAGCCACATGGGATTCTGATAGGGACTGTGATGACTCTGTACATCAATTTGGGGAATATTGCCATCTTAATAATATTAAATCTTCCAGTCTATGAACATAAGATGTTTTTTCCATTTACTTAGATTTTAAAAACTTTCTTTCAATAATATTTTTGTGGTATAAGTTTTACATTTCTTTTGTTAAGTTTATTTCTTAGTATTTTATTCTTTTTGATGGTATTGCAAATGAAATTGTTCTCTTAATTTCATTTTTGGATTGTTCACTGAAAGCATGTAGAAATACAATTGATTTTTGTGTATTAACCTTATATCGATACAATCTTGTTGAGCCCATTATTAGTTCTAATGCTTTTTTAGTGGATTCCTTAGGATTTTCTATATACAAGTTCATATCATCTGCAGATAGAAATGGTTTTACTTTTTCCTCTCCAATTTAGATGTTTTAAAATATTGGAATATTTTTACATGTAGTTTTGCAGGAGGAGTTCAAGATCTGTTGCCAGTTACACTGTCTGAAATGAAAGTGGCAATAGCTTTTAACTTATTCCGTCTCTTGCCATGTTCCTTTCCAACTCATTTTTACTGCAGTCAAGGTGACCTCGTGTTAGACAGGGTTCTTTGATTGCAAGCTACAGAAACAAACCCTGGACAATTTAAGGTAAAAAATCAAAATGAATTATGGAGCATAATTTGTGCTATTTTTGTGTCACTTGACTCAAGATTCAAACTTGACAGTGTCTGATTGGCCACGCTTAGATCACATACTTTCTTGGCTGTATTTTTTTGTTGTTGGTAAAAGGAAGAATTTGATGGAGAGTAATTTGTAAATGCCTTTTGTAAAGGCATTTACTTTTCGCCTCTACATTTCCATTCTGCCTCTGAACATTCATTGGTAAATCTCCCCAAATAAATTGGGGTTCCATTAAAAAGGGAATAAATCTTATTTTACTAACAATGTCAAATATTCACTAGAGATCTTTTCTAAAATGCAAATCATAATTCATATATCTTTTCTAGGATATGGCTTATTTATCAGCATTGTTTAAACATCTTTCAGCAGATTGTGCACTGGTTAAGAGTCAAGAGAGGCATCCTCATTTAAACATTTTTAGTTCCTAGCACAGTACTGGACACAGAGTTAAAAAGGTAATATAATCCCTTAGCAACCCTAATAGTGAGGAACTATTATTAAACAGATTTTAAAGATGAGAAAATTGAAGCATTGAAAGGTTAAGTAATTTACCCAAGGTTACACAGCTATGAAGTGATAAAACCAGGATTTTGAACCTAGGTAGTCTGGTTGTAGAATGTTACTAAATAACTTCAGAATGAGAACTGACATTTTGAAATAGCCTTCCTTGGCCAATAGTAATTACATTGTATTTTTATTAAACACATTTATGACTACCTGCCCCCAAAAGACAGGGAAGTGGGAATTTGAGGCATTGTTACTAGTCAGTGAAAAATTTTAGGCAGAAGCTGAGTAAACTGTAATGATTTTGTCCTAAAAGAGTTTCCTCAAACAGATGAGATCTTGGAATAAGTCACGTTAAGCCTTTGTGATGAGAATAAACTAACCTACGCACAAGGGTAAAAATTCACATTCTTAGAATCTCGTCAGCTGTTTTCAAAATAAGCATTTACAAAGTAAATAAAAATAAAACAATCAATTAGTTAAATCTTGCAGTATACAACACAAAATGGAGAGCTGGTTTGCAATTGCCCTTACATCCGGTTTGCAGTCTGTGAAGCTATCTTTTTATCGGGTTTACCTGAGGCCTCCTGTCCATGGGCAGTGCCGCTGTCTAATCTCTATGGGAGGAAGAACAAAATGTCTATACAGCAGATACAAGTATTTTTCTCTTGCTCCTCCTTTTGCATAGCACCCATTCCCGCGGTGATCTTAATTCAACAGTTACTGAACACCTACTGTATGCTTGACATAAAATGGTGGTACCTGACTTCAAAAAATTTGAAGTGTAGAGGGTAGAAAGGGGTCAAAACTGAAGCGGTTAGTGCTGTGGAAGTCTGGGCCTGCCCACAGACTCGACCTCTCTTGGGGCAACCCAGGGTCTGCCTCGCAGCAGCCAGATCTGCACCTGGAGGCCACGCACCCTTAGCCCAAGGCGGCGCGGCCCATTCGCGTACTGCGTTCTCCCAGGGCAGAGAAGGCAGGAGGGACGGACGCAAAGCCCGGAGAAATCTGCTTGCTGTGTCTGGTCGGACTCCGAGGCGCCCCAGTCTAAAGCGGTGTGTGTTTCGCCCTATTCATTAGGCCCGGGTTTTCTCTGAGAGCGCAGTCCAGAGGTCTGATCACAGCCCTTCATCGCCTCCCTACACTCCCTACGCTTCAATCCAACTGGTTCCCCACCCCCGACCAGTGGCTGTCCTCAATCACTTTGTCGACGTGGGTCCCCTCTCCGGCCCCACAAGGGGCCACAGGAATCTACCGCACCTCTGACACACCTCACCGCCCAGCTCGGCGCCACCCGGCACGCACCAAGACTCTGCTGGTCTGCCCGCCACACAGTCACACGGTAACGCCCCAACATCTGCTGGGAAGATCCTTCCCCACCGCGGAGGGGCTTCCCAGTCCCCCGCGCCCGACTCCACTGTCACCCGCCTGGCGCCGTGGCCGCGCGCCCCAGCCGCAACTCCCCGCCCCGCCGCCCGCGCGCCTGCTGGTCGCCGGGTTTGTCTCTAGCGACCACATAAAGTCGGATGAGTCCCCACGTGTGACCTGCGAGCTCTCGTTACACCCGGGGAGGCCTCGGCCCCCACGCTCCGGGGCAGTCCACGGCTGTGCTAACTCTCCAGCGGGGGCGTCCTCTTCTTCCTCTCAAGCGGCGGTGGTTGACAGTTCACAGCAGCAACTATTACGGCCGCTTCCTCTCCACTGTGGTCCTCTACCCGTCCGAGTGCTTCAGTGACAGCTTACAGCTGCCTGCCTTTTAGTCTCTTCGTTTTGAAGAGAACTGTATAGGGGCAACTCTTCCCTTGTTGGGGTCCTCCCAGGCCCACCTTAGTCTCCTACTGCTCTCCCAGATGGCCCGCACCCTTTCCAAGCCGGTTCCTCCGGGTGGGGCGTGCTTGCCCCAGGCTAACTTTCCATGAAATGTTGTCCCCTGTCTTGCTCCAGTGTCCCTTGCCTCTCTCCGCAGCGGCTTTAGCTGCTCGCCTAGCCAAACGCGTGGCTGGACCAGGGGCTGGGACCTCCGCGCCCAGGCTTTTACTCGGACTCTAGCACGTAGTGGAGCGGGGGTGGCGGCCAGCGCACAGGCTGGGGGCCTCTCGATGGCACCGGAGAGGGTCGCTTAGGGGCCAATGGCTACATTCCAGGAGGGCAATCCTGCTGACCCGGGCTTGGGGCCCGCCCCCCATCCTTCCTCCCACCACCTCAGGCCCTGCTCTCAGGCTTACACCCCTTTCTGGGGAAGCAAATGGTCCCTTCCAGGCGGGAGGCCATGTTGCTCTAATAAAGCGGGAGGGGCGGCGGAGTGGGGGGAGCAGATGCTGCTGGCTGCGCGCGGGACCCGGGCGCTAGCAGAGCGCAGCCGCGAGGGAGGCGCGGGGGAGGCGAGCCGGAGCCCGAGCCCGAGCCGGAGCTGCTAGCAGCCAGTGTTGGCGGAGAGTACCCGGGCGCAGCCAGAGCCGTAGCCGCAGCCACGATGGCCGTGGCCGTGGGGAGACCGTCTGCTGTGAGTGCTGGGGCCTCGCTTCCCTCTCCTGCTGCTCCTCTGGCTCTGGGTGACCTCGCTTTCGGGAGGGTGCCGGTGGGAATACGCGAGACCCGGGCGGGGGCTCCGGACAGTGGCGGCTGGGGCTGTGGGTGTGTGCATGAATTTGGGCGCGCGTCTGGGACTGAGGGGAGGGCGAGGAGCCCCGAGGCTCGGCTAATACATGATGCAACAGTGTATCGCCTCGTTGCGCTCGGATTACGGGGGTGCGAGAGAAAAAGGACCCCTCTCTTATTTTCTCTTTAAAAGGATTCTTTTAGCCACGGTGTTTCTCGGCTTTTTCCCTTTCCCCGCGCACACCTTTTTTCTCGTGACAGTCAAGAAGGGCGCCGGGTGCGGGGGTTCCCTCCCGGCTCCCCCGGGCGGAGGGGTGACCCGGGCATGAGAATTGTTAGCCAAAGCGCGGTGTGGCACTCTGTTGTAGAAGCGGGTCAAAAATAAAGGGGTGGGATTTCCATGGTGGTTTCCCCAGTGCATTGTGAGATCCCGACAGCCCCAGGCACCCACCCGGGTGACCGGGCCCTGCCCAGGATGTGGACAAAGTTTTCAAAAGGGCTCCTTGTCGGGGTGGGTGGAGGTATTAAAATGCTCTGCAGCTGGAAGGCCGGGGGCGGGGGGCCCAGGAGGCGGGGACGCGAGGAAGAGGAAGGGAGGGCGGGTGCGTGGAGAATCGGCTGCCCCTCGGCGGGAGCTATCGAGGAAGGGAGAGAGGGCGATGCTCCTGCCACGGATTTTCGGGTGGGGCAGGGACCGCGCCTCCAGGGGTGCAAGACTCAGTGCGCGACTTGGACCCAGCAGGACTTGGAGGGTGCGGTTTGAGTCCGTGCTCCGCATCCCAGGGTGGAAGGTGGGGGGAAGGGGCGACAGCGGCCTTTCTTTTTTAGAAAGAAACAGAGCCGGGTGGGAAAGGCGGAGTCCTCTTTCTCTTTCCCCATTTCTTTGTCGATGTTCAAAGTCCACTTTCGCCCCACTGGCTTTGGGGGCGCCTCGAGTGAGGTTCTTCCCTCTCTACCCCCTCCTTTTTCTATTCTTCCCCTTCCCACAACTGTGTAGCTGCAGGTGGTGGCTTGAGATATTTTGTAGATATAGACAGAAGTCTTTCGGAGATACTGGAAGCACTGAAACCCCAGAGATGCAGGCTGTGCTCTCAGATTCCCGGCTCTTTCTGCTAACTCCTCCCCAGACACACGCCCCACACCCCCGCCCCTTCCCCGGGAAGTTAACGGGGTTCCTCTCAGTATTCTAACTCATTTTGTTGATTCCGCTGCCTAGATGTTTTCAGAAACGTCCTCCGTGGTCAGACAATTCGCAGTGGTCATACTGAAGTGTAACTGTGGGTCTTTCGGGCATTTTAAACTCTAATATTTAATGACATACTCTTCAGAATTCAGGTCTCCTGTTGCACACAAATTGTGCTCTTGATAATTAGTGGTCAGAGATTGTTACTGAGGAAATTTGTAGTCTCTTGGCTAGTCCTTTTTTTTTTTTTTTCATCCTGGTGAGAAAAATGAGGTCCAGAGCGGTC